CACGTAGGTCGTAAACAGGGGGTGTATAGCAGCGACCATAAGATCGTTATATTAACACGGAAGGAGGGCGATGACAGTTTAAGAACTGTAAAAACAGCTCCACTTTGTCACGTGTAATGTAAATGTTGGTTGCCTACTCAGTCTTCTGTTCTATGTCGTGATACTAGTATCATGATTCCATGAATTTCTGAACGTTTTCCATTTTTGATTAGAAACTAAAGTATTGGGTAACCCGGTAACCTACCCCTACGGTTAGGCAACACCAATCGTGCTAAGCTTTCGATTCCCGCCGTGTCATTCTGTGCAGATGCCGAATGTTTATCTTGTTTTGTTGGAATAGTGTATTTACATTTATTTGTTATTGTTTATTTATTTTACATATTTACATTTTATTCTTGAGTTTCATATCACAAATTGTTATAATTTACATTTTGTATAAAATGCTGTACTGAGTATTAATTTATGAGTTAGAGTTAATTTTTATTTATTTCGTCAGAGAATGGACGCCACAGGAAAGTTTTCAACTACGCCCGTGGACCCTTTTTGATAATCCTGTGGATTGCGGCTGATAAAACATTGTTTAATTTTGGTTACACGCTGCCTGGTTTTTGGTAAGGGGTTGGTAGGTTTTTGGAGGGTTATTTTTTTGTTCATGCAACGTTATTTTTGGTCGTTCGACCGGCAACTAAATCAGTTTTTGGGTTTTGGCCCTAAGCTCTGGTGCATTGCTGATATTTGAAGCGTGTCCTACTTCATGCTTTTGTCTCGTGTGGACTGCATCTCTTGTGTCTTACCAATATGCGAGAAGGGGGTCCTCTAATTAACATTTCCTCTATTTAAAATATGTTTTGCCTGGATGCTTGGAGTAGAGCTATGCTTTTGACATGATCTTACATTTGACTTAATTACTTTATTTCTATTTATGCTGTCTCTTGTGTTTGTTTTTATGAAGTTTTTTAACTGCATTTGATTCGATTACCTGATTCTTATCGTACAATTTGAGATGTTTTATTTGTGCACTTTCTCTTGCATTTTGTTGCCGTAGTTGATTGATTTCATGTATTGGTGCGGACTATTCCGGGGTTTTTGTCCCGAAGGTTTCTCTAGTATCGCCTTGTTGTGTGCGAAATATATTTTACCCTTATCTTTTTTTTCGCATTTTATTCAACTTCCTTCCCGATTATCTCAGGTTCCAACACATAAAAGAGCCGACCTAGTAGGTATTACACAACGTAGGAGTAAAATTCGTTCCATCCAGTCCGAGCCGACTACTACCGAGAGTCGAGTCGAGTTAAGCGGTGTTTTCAAGTTAACGAAGAAGTTTAGTTGTAGTGCTGTGGTTAACGGACGCTGAAGAGGAGCCTTTCTTTAGGGTTTTCAAGTTACCAGTTAAAGGAGTTTTTCCACCATCAACGAGCCAATACAATAATCGTAACTACAACGGAGTTAGTGTCGTCTAAATCGAGATTCGATTGTTATAATTGAAATAGAGAATGATTTATTGTAAATCGCAATTACGACCACAAGATTTTGGATTATTGACACTTTAAGGTCATTAAGATTTTTTAACTTATTTGTTCTATCGATCGTTGCTGCGTGGTATGTGACATTCTGGCCCTGGGTGCCAGTTCTTTTTTCAGCTAATTTGACTGGTTTATGTCGAATAAATTTGTACGTGTTTGGTTTTGTGATTAATCGAGCCCAAATTATAGACAAAAAAGAACTAAAAAAATACACAGGGACTACTAATCAGCTGATGATTTCGATCCGTACCACCTGTACCTGTAAATTATTTATATGTATATTGATAGACTTCCAACAGTTAATTTGGTGACGTTATTTGGACCCGATTATGAAATTAATAAAGACTGTTAGAGGGTACTTTATTTAAGCGTTTTTAACAAAAAAAATCGCGGAAGAAGCCTGACATTTCCAAAATCAAAAGTTACGTTTTACTTTACTAAACGTAACGGTATGTTTAGTATTATAGTTCAATGCATATTTGATGGTGCGTAATGTTTCTTAAGAGGTTATGTTAACATTTTTCGACGAGGTATTATAATAAACGTTACCAAAAATTACAAAATATTGATGTAAAACCATGCATGTGTTTTTCCATAATAGCAGTAAGTAGTTTTTTGCATGTTTTACACAATTCATGGGTAAATTATTGACATAAGAGCAGCATTTATCCATAATAAAAATATTTTACAATGAGAAACCTGACATAGGTACATTTTAAATCGTTTTATTAAGAACTATTCTACATTCGGGTGTACAAGACGGTTGATGCTAATCGGAAAAAGCGATCCATGGAAGATACGGGAGGTGTCCCTTCCCCTCGTGAGTGTACAAGGCACTTAATTGCGGAATCTCTAACAATGTTTATTGATTTCATGATCGTAACCCTGAGTCCGAATAACGTCATGTAGTAGTATAGAGAACAATTTAAGACCTTCTGCGGGGGCACCTCTAAAAAGCATTATGCGGGCCACTCTGGAATTTGGCACAAGCCTGTTGAGGGCCCAGAACAAGAGAAGGACAAACAATAAGTAAATAAAAAGGAGGAAGGAGCATGTTGTAGACAAGCCGCTGACGATAGATAACACAGATCTGACCTTTGTCGATTTATGTTGGGCGAGCTCGAAGTGGTATCACGTTTATATCCGCCTTAGCGATTAAAAGTACCGTTCTGGTACTACGTAAAAAATAGTTTAAATATGGGCGGCTATTTTACTATATGGGTCGCACTTTGGATTCGAATAAACACACAATTAATTGCTTGATAATGACAATAATTTATTCCGAAGCACTTGAGAGAAAAATCCCTATAAGAAGGAAAAGCTTACAACACAAGTTTGGAGATTATTACACCACACGCACGGGGGCAACAATTCAAATTAAAAGAATTTTAAATCACTTTCATTTTTTTCTTAATAATCCAAATAGGTAATCGGGTCGTAAAAAGTTTACGTTTCGTTCACACACAAAGCTGACAGCGTCACTGGCCTGATGAACAAGATAACAAATTAGAGGTGGCTGTTCGGACGGTAGAAACTTTTAACTTTTAATAATAAAACAAGCTTAAAGAAAGGCCTCGGGTTAGTACAACTGCTTGTTCGGCTCATTTTTTCTACATTTAAAAAGCTTCCGATGAACTTTTACTAGTTCACTTGACGATGTAATAACTGAAATCTTTTATTAAGATTCCTTAACCTCTGTTGTACCCTTTATTACAATACTGGCGAATTACTTTTCAAAACACAGGCTGGCTGCACGTAAATTTATCGTAAATAAAAGTCCACGTTTTCAAACCGGCGCGAAAGAAAAAGCAAAGAAAAAACCTCGTCTTGCAGTCGTCTCCAGTAAACACTTGCATTTTTTTAATCAGCGAAAAAACACGTGTGCTAATTAATTTTCGCCTTCTTATCGCAAACCACCAGATGTAGCCTACTATTAACAACTTATCTAAATTGAACAAATTACAGAAGCGATTAAATTAAAACGGACACGACAAACATTTCTAAAAGAAAAATCTAACACTAAGCTACAAATTCAAATGAAATAAACCAAAATAACGACTACGTGCAGACGTAGTGTATATCCACTTCATAATACTGCCCCGCTAATAATTTGTGAATATTTCTTTCATCGAACTTAAACAATATTAAAATATTAAAATCTCATACTTGTTTACCACACATTCTTCTAAACAGTTTTGTCTTTTTTACCAACCTAAACCTCAAAACTCCCTTCCTTTGCACTAGGCAACTGTATACCTCGACGGGCAATCTCATGTTAAAGACATTCTGTAATTATACCCAACCTTTTAATTTTTATATTTCTCATTATACGAAATAGCATTTGACTTTCGTCAGTTATCCGATCGATATCTGTCAAATTGTCTCAACTTCCTAAAGTTGTAACCGATTTCTCGCTCGTAAGGAAGATAGCGAAAGTGACGAAGTATGATTACAGTCTCATAACCTCATTCAGCGTATTTTACAGTTCTTTATGCCAGTTTTCACGTTATTTACTTAGACACTCTTCCAAATTTTGTTTTTACCTTCAACGCGTCCTTTCGGTGACGGAACACCTTCCTTGCATTAATTGAAATTCCGTTCCCGACATAATCGGAACGCAGGGAATCGTTTAATTAATATGAAACTGCAATCATAATTTCAATTACCCCAAATGTTACATATTCTTGTGATTTACTATCCATTAGTAAGTATTGATTTTCCGAAAAAAGGCACCTCAATTTATCAAGTAAATGAGAGTGGAACCTTTTTAGAAATAGAGGAAACTAATAGAGCATAAACACTAATGGTAGAAGGGCGATTTAAATTAATAAGCTTAAGTTTCCGCTTAATAAAGTTTGCTATTCCATTTTTGATTGTGGGAATGTCCATTCGTTCTACTAGGCTTCGATTTCAAATCGGGATCTCACTCTCCCATAAAGTTGCACATTTCTACTGTTTATTGAATTTAAATGTAGTACGTAAGGATCAACCTCAAAACAATTACATTATCCGAAGAGTATACTCCCTTATGCGTTTCACGTTGAAGTTTACATCTCAAGATATAAATTGAAGCAATTTAAGGACGCCAGAGCTACGATGACCGGTGAAACAGTAAAGTAAACGCAGGATTTGACCCAAATCCCAGGGTAAAAGGTTCTATTAGTTTCCTATGTATTCAAGAGCTTCACGAAATTCATCTTAATGGGATGAGTACATAAACCCTTAGTTCTTCGTTGATTAACAAAAATAGCTAAATCAATACGATAGAGTTTTGCTTTTTGGGGAATGGGGGATATTTAATTTGTGAAATTGGTTTTAAAATCCCATCGTATAATATATTGGGTATAGTTACGAGACTGAGTCGACTCTGAGTAGTAATTTCGCCTCAATTGGTAGGTGTCTCGCAAAAAATCGTAACGACGGAGGAATTCAAGGTAACTTCATTGTGGGGTAAATAGAAAGTCAATTGATTTTCATTTATCTCTGTTAAAATCGCTTATTCGTGATGAATCGTCTTTAACTTACTTGATTTGATTCACGGTCTCTGACAGCGCTATTACCACGGCCTAGCGAATACACTTTATTCTCCGAAAGTTAAGATTAATGACAAGATTTGGAAGATTTTACTACAATAACTTACCGTTAAGAACGTGTACTGCGACAGTTGCAAAAGCTAACGTTCCAACGGCGCACGTGTAGTTTCCGGAATGACGCTTTTGTAGAGGGGCCACTGTGAGGGTGGATACAACCATGTCCGTCCCTGTCGAGATGTTGGAATTGTTGGAGCTGAAACAGAGTATGGTAATTACCAAGAATGTAAGAGAATGTTAGAGGTGATTAATAACTCAGCACAATACGTGAACCTATTCTTTCGAAATATTTCTACTATTATGCACCGCGTTTAGAAATGTCACAAACAAACATCGGCCACTATCATATGTGGTAAATTACGAAGTATGCGGTCATATTTAATTGAAATACCACGTTTATCATAATTTGTTTAAATACTGTAACGCCATTTTGCAACAGTAGCATTGAAAAAACAAATTGGTTACAAATTTTTCTTCTCATACATTCATTGTTCCTTAATGGTTTAAGGAAGCAGGTAGAGCCGCCGAGTCTCACTTAGGTCTCAGGTTTCATGGTTTTAATTAGACCTATTCGGTTACATTTGCCACTAAATCAACCTGCGACATAAAGAGCATTGAGTCAACAATTTTTGAAGTTGCGTCGAAAGATGAGTAAGAGCCCAAGTCCATCCGTGATTGGTAGTAAAAAGAGCATGCGCCATTCAAAATTAAAACTGCCTCCATTATTATTCGCAATAGTGATTTTTCAAAGCGACCTTATATGGTCCTAGTCTTATTATTAATTTGTGGCTGAGCTGCAGTTGAGAGTGGGTCCATTTTACTAGTAAAAAAGTGAATCATTAATTTGGAATTTAGACTGAAGTGCCAAACAGAAGAATTTTCAAAATTGGGATTATATCGTGTGGGAACTGTTAGACTTCTTGCATCTATGGCGAAGATTGACGTGAGCGGAAATACATTTTTATGCAAGGAAAGATGTCTTCTCAAGAAAGTCTAGGTATTTTTAAAAGCTACCAGATCCCACCAGAAAACTCTGATGGGAGTGGACCTCGCCAAACACAGAGAGAACCTCAAGCAAGCCCAGAAGAGATGAGGCGAGCCGATGAAGATAAAATGTGAAATAAGCCAGTCGTACACAAGTGGAGATCCAGAGATCCCTACACAAAAGTTGAATCAAATAGAGGTTGAAGTAGAGGAAGCCAACAGAGAGCAGCGAGAAACCAAGAGAATCGAAGAAGGGCAACATAAACTGGAAGGTGTTTTACAATAAGACCAAGAGAAAATGGAAAGAAAAATAGAGAAACCCAGGTGGAGGAGGATTTAAAAAAAACAAAAAGTAAAAATAAAGCTTTACGCCGAAATGGGACAAAATTGTGCAGGGGTTCTGATTGTCCCCAGCACCGGTCGGGAGCGAGGCGGAGCGAGCAGGTCTCACCCGACCGTTACCGAACGTGGTAGGGAACCAGATCAGGGCGCCATTAAAAGCTTCTGGCCTTTGTGACGACCTTTGCATGAAATCGGATATGAAACTACACCAGGATAAAACGCATGATGCGATAAGCGATAAGCAAACAAGAATTTTTAATCCCTTTTCCAGAAGAAACTCTATCACCAGGTCTCCACCTGCACTTCAAAAAAGTTCAAGTGAGCTAGAAAGGAGGGAAAATGAGGTTTTCTTCGTAAGAGAAGGAAAGGATCCGTTGAAATTGTCTATGTCGGTCACAAAATCCAGCTCAGCTAAAAGATAATGTGAAGGTAACGTAGAGGGCGAGATATAAGAAGTACTTGGACCAGCTGACAAGGCGATTAAGGGTATAGTTAAAACGACAGGCAATTGACGCAAACAAAGAATGGGAATGTCGATTAGGAAACGCAATGTAAAAAGACCAGATCCATGTGGAGAGCGAAGATACAGACAGCGAACAGGAAAGAATCTCCCCCAGAGAGAAGTCCAACAGAAATATGAGGAAGAAATAACTGCCATATTTATAACAGGAATGGGCCCAACCACAAGTGCACAGAAAGTTACGCAAGCAATAATATAAGATTCCGATGTAGGAATAAAAACAATAAGACTAGGAAAATATAAGGTACAAACTGCAGTAGTAAAGGTTCCAAGGACGCGGACTGTCACCATGATTAAATCAGTGAGATTAAAGATTCAATGGATTGGGTGTAGTCAGTGAGAGAGAGTTCACATCATAAGGTGTTGTAAATGTCTTAAATATGGACACAAAACCAGAGAATGTCAAAACAACGAAATGTGTACTAAGTGTGGACCAAATTAAATGAGAAGAAAATTCGTGGAGAAAGAAGGGACAGAATCAGTCGGAGTAGTGGAGCCCAAATAACCAAAAATTAGTGTTAAGGTACTACAGGAGAACTTAGGGAGAGAAAAGGAAGCCCACGACTTAGCATATGCTACTGCAAATCAGAAACAGGTTGATATTGTAATAATAAGTGAACCGAAGAAAGCCTTAAAGAAAGCGCTTAAGAAAACAAGAGAGGGAGGCTATTATAGCAGGATTAATGCTAAGTCACCCATGTGGGAATCGCCAAAGACCGACGACAGTGGAGAGCAATGGAATGAATTCTTAAATCTGGTCGTTTGCGACCATGTCTGGTATTGGGTAAATAAGACCAACTATGAAGAAGTCTTTACTGATACCTGTCCTATCTCAACACTTCCCCAGAGATGTGGAAAAGATGTTAATAGGATCTGGAGTAATAAATACGATATCTGCACTGTTGACGACTATTCTAGAAAGGGCTCAAGTAGCAAAATACGAGGAAATACCAAGAATTAAGACAAAAAGGTACCAGTCACAGAAATCAGGAGAATTGGAGGGGGTCAAAAATCTCCTTCGAAAGATATGAAACATTCAAGAAATTAAAGAAGTTAACAACAAAAAAGAATAGCATTTAAATAATTTAATTGAACAATTAAGAAATTTTTTCTATTTCGGTGTCACAATGATGATTTTGTACAACTGTTTTCGGCCGAAAACAGTTGTACAAAGACAGTGATTATAGTCGTTTTTTTTGGAAACTCATCTCTTAAGTTGGCAGTTACTAGTTAGTACACGTAGGTACTTCGTTGGGTACTTCCATGTTTGAACTTCAAAATGTCAGTCTTACTACGCTGCCAACCTAAAACTTAACGGCATAAAAAGTGTTCCCAACATAAAACATGTTAGTTCTAATGTTCCCTATAGTTTCTGATAATGATTTTTTTAATTAAATTAAAGCACCGAAATAGAAAAAATAGTATGATAAACGCGTGTTACAATGCTTTATTGTAATACTCCTATCTTGCGGACACTCGTATTACAATAGGTCGCATTGTAACACTTGTCTTTCAATATACTATTAGGGGGTAGAGCCAGCTGAAGAAAGTGGTATTCATAACAGAGATGAAATTTTAGAAGAAAGGTTAATCAGACGTTAAGAAGATCTGTGTGCACAAGAATTAAATTTGAAAATGAAGAAGAATCAAGAAGAAAGGTAGTCCTGTTGGAGCAAGCATATTTAAAGAACGAAAGGAAGCAATGTTACTACAAGACATGAATAAGAATTTGGAACAAGATCAACAAAATTGAAGGACAGTCAAGAAGAAGTAGAACTAGCACAATATTTCAAGTTATTGAGTGAAGAAGAATTTTACGAAGACGAAGAAGTTAAAGAAGTAAACAAATTACGGAGCATGAACAAATTATTAAGCAAAATAGAAATATTAGAGAGGTAGAGAATTATATTATAGGATTTTTAGCGCAAAGATGATCAGAGGGAAGAATGACCAAGCTATAACGATAAGTTAATAGTAGTAATAGTAGGTAGCGTAATGTTTGACCGTATTGGAGAAAATGAGTGCGATTGCCACAATCTCTTCGAGTGAAAAAATCCATTCCATTTTAAACCGGCTGAGAATACCGAAATGTGGGCTTTCCATTGGCTGTTAGGGCACGCCAGTTGAGGTCATTGCGTTAAAAAAAGGAGGTCCGTTTCGGTTTTCCTAACGGGAAAGATTCAAACAGCGAAAAGCATTTTCATGAGCGGGCACGAACCAATTTGGGTACGATAATTCTTCATCATAACTTCATACTATTGACATCATAAACGACTCATTATCGTCCATGAAATCCGTAACAAAACGCGGTTCGTAGAACACCAGAAAGTCCCAGACCCCCAAGCCACCATCTCCGAAAGGCACAGCAACAACTGGACCACTACACTATTATGGGTTTCATCACATTGTGGAATTGCTGGGAACGAGACGACTGATCAACAAACAAAATTTGCAACACCCCATCCTCACAACACCGTACGTAAAATCACCATCCAGGACATACTGATTGCACAAAGAACAAACTCATAAACCAATGGCAGAGTAAATGGACAATATGCTTTCTGGAAGGAATACAAATACCAACCAAATATAAGTACCTAGCCCATAAACCATAAATGGGTGCCGATAACCCTGGCAGTTGAGATACCATCCATTAAATTTAAATTTAAGAAATATTAAATTGTTTGAAGTAATTTTAATATTCCTGAAGGAATCGACCCATAAAAATTATTTGCATGAAGCAAATTTTGGAGTGTATTCATTGATAAGAATCGAATGCAAAGAAAAGATTTTGGGTTATTTTATTCCATTGAGTAAAAAGTGCATTTAATTTCAGTGCATTTAGAAAGGGTTGAATTAAAATTCCGTAGAGGTTCGATTTTATTTTATACAAGATGAGGTCTGCGACCCTTCTAAATGTAACTGCGCCGTTACATCCTTTTAGCTTAAATTACCGGATTTATTAATTTAATATCATTGTTTATCACTTATTTGTCTAGTTATCAAAGCTCTGCTTCCAATTTATGGCAGAACTTACTTTTTTACAATACGGATTGAAGTATTAGACCTTTCCTTGAATCGTGCAGGAAGTCAAAAGTTATAATAGTCATTCATATGCGCTGTTCATTTTCTTATTCGCCACGCTATTATTTAACTAAAGTAGTACATTGAGTTCTCTTTTGTATTCCAGTGCATATATGCATCTATATATTCATACGAGAACGTAATTTCGCAAGTTTAACTGTGCATAATTAAATTAATTAAGTGACTTAGTTTAAAGTTGTGTGACTGAATAGTGAATGCATTTTACGCTGCAGCTCATCCGGGGACAATATTTGAGCCTGGCACAC